AACAATCATGAAATGCACTGAGAGGATTAAACAAGCCCATGGTTGTAGCAGTGCTGATTATTGTCACAGCAGTTGGCTCTGGGAGAGATGAGGGCAGATGGTTCTGCCTGTCTCGGAATGGTCTTAGGTGCAGCTGTGCCGGAACTGCCCCTTGAACACTGCTGAGGCTGAAGAGGATGGGATTGGGTGGTACAGCACCTTTCAACGTAGCAACATGTGGACAGCCAGACCAGGCCCAGGGCTCCAAGGGAGCTGAGGGCAGAACAGAGGCAGTACAAGAAGGCCCTGGGCTTGGTCCCGTGGGCAGCAGGGACCCCTGATGCTGCAAGGGACAGGAAGTCTCCCTTGGGGGCCATTGAGGCAAATGCACAAGCAAGTGACAGCTGAGACCTGTGAGGAAAGTACCAAGTGACCCCAGTAGAGGGGAGTTCTCCAAGCCAGGGTGGCGAGGTGGGGGTGGAAAGTCACAGTGGGTTGGGCCATGACTGCTGGGGGTGCATATGTCCCCATCTGTGAAGTGGGACATTGGGCACAGCGAACCAAGGACCTGGTGGCAAGCTCTCTGCCCTGTGTGGCATGGAGGGGACCCTTCTTGCACTGAGTGGGTTGGAGGCACTGAGCCTGGCAGGGTCCTTTCTGGGGAACCCCCTCTGGCTGCTCACCCCTCCTGTCTGTGGGAACCCAGGGTCTGAGCACCTGTCGAAAGGCTTCGTGGGTGGCCATCAGGCAGGCCTACAGAGCCTCGCACCAGCCCCAGGTGCCTCGAAGGACACCAAGCACGCAGGGCTGATCTCATTTCCCCCTCTGACGTCTTGAAACAAGAGCTCTGATGCCAGGACATGCTGCCGAACAAGGGCCTTGGCCATCTGGAGTTGCTCAGAGAGGCAGATGTCCTTTCCATCCTGCCAGGCACTCACAGAGCAGAGGAGCCAACGCAGTCCCCAGAGGGCAGGGGACCCAGGGCAGCAAGCAGCCTGCAAGATGCAGCCTCAGGACTGAAGATTCAGTACCCTGTGCTGCCCAAGAGGGGCGGCCTCCTGAGATGGCAGCCCCGCTGCCCACCACACCTGTATGTCCCTCTCGCTGTGCTCTGCCCTGCTCTCCTCACCCCCGGCTCTCAGTGCGCAGGCCACAGCACTCGGGTCTGGGGGTGCTTGCATGGTCCTTGTCCCTCCCAGGTGTACGCATCTTGGCCTCCCTGCCCTTTAAGGACAGGAGGCCCATCTTCCTGTGAGCCTGACTGGTGGTGTCTCCAGGGTGGGCTGCTTGGAAAGGCCATATCCCTTGTACTCCATTGCGCCACCTTGTGGGCTGATCACTCTGTTGGCCTTGGCTTTGGGTGGAGGCTAGCCCGGAATGGGACTGCCTCCTGCTCCGGGGGCTTACTGCCTTCTCCGTGCAGTCTCTGCGGGCGGGGTCTGAGCACGAGGCCGTGGGTACGGAGGGATGATCTGCCCAGGCCTCCCTCCCTGTCTTCTTGCCCTCCTCCCTGCCTCAATGCCTGGAATACCCCATGCAGATGGCTGCAGCTTTGGGTTGAGTGCAGAGGGCTCCTGTGACTTTGCAGTTTTGAGTGCAAACAGATGAGGCTTTCTGCGGGCAGTCTCCCTTAACCACCAAATCACAGCCCAAACCAAGCACACAAGCACTCTGAGCCCACTTGCAGTCCCAACACAGCCCTAGCACAAGCCCTGACTTGAGTCCCTGGGCTCCCCGCCTTGGATCTGTACCCACCATCCGTGCTGTTCCTGGACAGAGGCCCTGGTGTGAACAATGGAGCTCTGGCCTGGATGGCTTGCCGAAGTCTAGGGTCACGGGCAGGGGAGGATGCAGAAACTGAGGTGGAGGAGGAGCTGCGGTCAGGGCCTTGCCCTGTGCAATCCCCGAATGGCCTCAAGGGCTTCCTCCGGTGCAGTGCACTGCCCAGGAAACCCCCTTAGGCTTCTTCTCCCACTGCCTGCAAGCTTTCATCTGGCTGATGACTCCAGGAGCACCCCTGGCACAGGCAACAGCAAAGCAGACAGCCTGGCTGGGCTGTAGGGAGGTGGGTAAGGAACCAGCTGGCAGGGATTCCACCAGATTCCCTTCCCTGGCCCCCTCACCCTTGCAGATGCCCTAGTGCCTTGACCTCCCCCAGGGCTTCTCTCTGGTTGGACATACCCTTGCCCCTGCTTCCTCATCCTCTCCCCAGAGGGACTGTCCCCTCCTGGCATTCCAGAGACCCCCAGGGTAAGGAGGACATTGCTGTTCAGAGCTCACCTGACCTGCACGCTGTGTCCCTCCCTTTCCTAGGTTCTCCCCAAGGCCTGAGGCTGGGATGATTTGCCCCGCTCCTTTGGTGGGGGCACTGCTAACATGAGAGGGGGATAGCCACAGGTACTGGCTGTGGTTGCTCAGAACCCAGAGCCCTGGGCCTCACATTGCATCCCAGGCTGTGCCATGCCTCCACATGGCTCTGTTCTTGCCATTAGCTCCTCTAGGCTGGAGAGGAAGGCCCTGACACCCCCAGTTCCATGGATGCAAACGCAGCAGCTGCTCACCCCATACCCTTGTGGCAGGGCTGGCTCCAGTTCCAGACTTACCCTGGCCAGCAGCTTCTTATCCCCACTTCTTGGCAAGGGCTGCAGTCCCTGGAGCCACTTGAAAGGGGTTGGTTGGAATCACTTAATCTGTTCATGTCAGGCCAGACACTGAATTTAAGCCAATGGTGGCTAAACCAAAGGCACTATTATCCACTCATTACCTCCTCTGTAAGGCTTGGCCAGCTCCCCAGGGTGATGTGACTGCAGGACCCAGCAGACCCCTCAGACCCTGGTGGCCCCCACCATCCACTGAGAAGGGAGCATCCTGCCTGCAGGTGCAGTGTGGGTGAGGAGCAGGAGGCCGGAGGCCTCCCTGCCTCGGCTGCCCCCACTGGCAGGACCCTGTAATACCTAGGGGCTCAGTTCACACCCCGGGCATCTCCTGTGAAGTGGGGGGTTGAGAGCCGAGCAGAGTACAGGGGCCAAGCCAGTGCCCCACCTCACCTCCAGTCAGAGCTTACTCTAGCTTTTCCAGTCAGGGCTCACATCCTTCCCTGTCACCTACTAGTTGGTGGTGACCTTTTGAACCTTAGTTTCCTCACCTGCAAAGATGGTCATCATGGCCATCCTGCCTTGTGGAGCCATCCTCCAGACATCAGCTGAGCATGGCACCTGGCTGGAGATAGCCTTCAGCACTCACATATCTATACCTTTGTTGCCAAGTGTGTTCTTTTGATTGGTCTTGACTATTTGGTCTGTAGTCAGATTTCATTTGGATAAAGAGAGAAGTTTGCTGCTCTAACAGTTTGAGGCCACAGAGTTCTGCGTGGCCTCTTTGCTGTGTGACTGAGACACTAGAACTCTTGCTAGGATGTGGTCTTGGTGGGGCATCCTGACCAGAGAAGAAGCCCTCAGCAGTGGAGGACCACCAAAATCCCACCCCTGCTTCATGCCAACACCAGGCTTAGCCTGTGGTGGGGGTAGAAGGGTAGGCTCTTTCTAGGTTGGAGATGCTGAGAGCTGGCAGGGCCAGGGTGCCTGAGTGCCGGTAGCGGGGGACCTCACAACTCACCCAGCATCTCTGTTGGGTCATACAGCCCACTCCATCTTCTCACTTGTTGACACGTTGAACACCTGCTCTGTGTCAGAACCATCTTCCAAGACCCAGGCTGCCTGAGGCAGAGCTGTCACAGCCCAAGGTTCCTATAAAAGGTTCCACTGTGCTGGGGGAGCATGGAGTCAATGTATTCCCAAGTGTGTCAGCTGCCAGAATTCCTCCCATTTTTCCAAATCATAGAAGAAAACGCACCCAACCCTTAGTTCCCAAAAGTGACCTTTGCCCACTGAAGGCAGCTCCGCTGTTAAAGCAGAGAAGAGCAAGGCACAAAACGGCCAAAGTCAGGATCTAGGACTGAGCACCCACACACACAGCCTCACAGAGTGGGGGGGAATGGAGGAGTGGGACTGCAGCCTTCAGAAGGAGGGCCCAGGGCCAACAACAAGCCACAGAGAGTGGGGTCTGGGAGGAAGGAGGCAGGAAGGCAGACATTTGGGCATTGCAAAGAGCCACCAACTTCACTCAGCAGAGATGCACCAGTTCCAGGATCCTGGCCTCACAGACACCACCCAGCAGCCAGCCCCAGGGTCAGAGTTCAGCCTTGGTGGCAGGGTGGGCAGGGGAAGGCCTTGCGGATTCCCGCATCCCCTGGGGAGAAGGATGTGGCTGCACCCTGCTTTCTGAACCTACTCCCAGCAATTTCCTCAATCAGCCCTGTAATTTATTAAAACCCACCTCAAAGCCCAGCTGGTGAATCAACCCCAGGAATGGGTGGGACAAGGCCGGTCAGGACCCTGGGCAGGGCCGCCTGCCCCGGCAGGGGGATTGTTAGGGGTTGCCTCCTGTGTGGAGAACTAGATCCATGAACCGCTCAGGTCTCCTGGGCATGAATGAAATGACTTTGACGGTGCTGATGTCGCACTTGCTGCTGAACACAAGGATGTGGGCCCAAAGCTTTACCTTCTGATTTGAGGGGTGAGGGGGGCGGGCACACTAGGTGCCCCACAGTCTTCCTATAGACAATGAGACCAAAAATAAGGACGCTCCCCTCTGACAACTGCACAGCTGCCCGTGCACTTGCTGTTGTCTTTCTGTGTACCCTCTAAACCTGTTAACTTCTGAACCTTAGGACTAGCCTGATCCTGGCCCTCAGAGGACATAGGCTCGAGCAAGGCCAAAGCCGTCACCAAACTCCATGGGGTCTCGCTGCTGAGCAGGCATTTGGTTTGCACAAGGCCCCAGAGGCCTGAGGCTCAGCCGTGCTCCCTGAGCCCACATAACCTGTTGGGGCAGAGCTTGCCATCTCACCCTCAGTTTAATTTGTTCACCTTCAGCCAGCCCAGCCTGTGGAGCACTTCCAGGCTGCCCAGGCCACCCTGTTCCTCGCCCTCACTGACCAGCCCCTTTTTCTCATCCTCCAGTCCCCAGCTTTCATTGCCCGAGTTGGCCGAGACCTGGTCTCCCAGACGGAAGAGCAGTTGCTACAGAGACCCTGCAAGGAGCTCTTCGCGGCCTGTGCGCGGTGAGTGCTCCTGCCCCAGCCCCACCTCCTTGCTTGGGTGGGCGCGTCCTCCCCCTAGGAGAGGGTCTGCCCTTGGACCTGCACCTGGAAACCAGGGCAGGTCTTCGGTGCCCAAGGGTCCCCAGCCAGGCCATAGAAGTCTCTCTGTCCACAGCTCACTTCCCCCATTCCACTTTCTGAGCCTACTCCACACTCAACCTCTGCCCCAAAACAGAACATAGAGCATCCTGGAAATGAATGCTAGTGTGGCAGTGCATTGCTGTGGTTGTTATACTGTTACTGCAGTCCATCTCCTAGTCTGATTACACTCTGTTGTGGGTCTGAATGTGTGTCCAGAAAGAACACTGTAGAAAGGTTATTTGGGGAGGTCTTAAAGTGTACCCCCGTGGACAAGGGGGATGCCTGTGCACAAAAGGAGAGAGAAGTCCAAAGAAAACACTTACCCAAGAGGTATTGGAAGCACGTGGCTCTCTGGGCCATGAAACAAATGAACCCGAAGCTTTGACTGTGGCCAAGTGGTTGGGAAATCTTTCCCATGACCCCAATCTTCACCACTGCCACCAACCAGAGTGGGGCTGCCGGCACACGTGTGTGTGGGCTGTGTATCCACTCCAAGAAAGGCAAGACAGGCCAGTCTGTGTGCTGCCTGCCACACGCCCTGAGCCTCGCGCCACCCAGCACACACACTCCAAAGGTGTAAGTGCCTAGGAACACACCCCCTGCTGTCAGCTCACACACACACACACACACACACACACACACATGTGCTTGTGTACCGTAGGGCCATCCATAGCACATTGAACCTCCCAGATGGGAGTCTGGGTGCGTCCTGTGCCTTCTTACTCAGCACTGCAGACATTAAGCGCCTGCTGTATACACCAACACATTGCCAGTTGCTGAAGAGAACAGATAAGCAGGCGGGGCTCTTTCAACCAACACCAGCCTGTTGGTGACCTGCCCTGGGGCTACCTTGTAAGTGCCAGGGCAATACAAGCAAAACCAACCAACTCGCTGGCCAGGGACCAGTCTGCCAGTGGGTGGGGTCTTGGCTGTTGACCCTAAGGGAATGACCTTCCTGGCCTTCCAAACTGGCCCATTTTCAAGTCCAGCAGGACACAAATCCTGCCATGGTCACCCACCTGCCCCAAGTCTCAGTGCCTGCACAGGCTAGTCAGCCCAGCCAAACAGCACAGAATTCACAGTTGCTCAGATGGGATGCCAGAATCTCAAGCAGCAGTTTAAACTACTGCACCACAACACCAGCCCCAGCACTTTTCAAAGGAAATATACCCGTCCCTTCCTCCTGCCAGGCCCTGTCCTGGTGGCCTCAGAAACTCAGCAGTCTGCCCTGGCACCTGGCCCACACTGGGTGACCGTGACTTCACTGGCCTGGACCAGATCCAAAGGCTGGCCCCTGAGTGCACCTCCCTACTCTACTCCCTCACCCCCCACACACCTCGAGTCCCAGCTCGGTGCCGCCTTCAGTCTGCACGTGCTCACAGCCGAGCTCAGGGGACCCCTTGCAGAGACCACATTTGCGATGAGGTGTGCAGTGCAGAGGAGGGGTTTCCTTAACATTTGGGACTTCCTGTTTAGCTTCCCATCTCCATGTGCTACCGGCCACATCACATCGCAGGTGCAAGTAACAAGTGTTGAGATCACCTGCTTAGAATCTACCCTGTGGCTAGAAGGACCACATCAGGGCCAGGCGCCTGTGGTGCATTCCCAAAGGCTGGGAAGGCATGGGCCCAGGTGGTGGCAGCACTGTGAAGTGCCTGTCCCTCTGTCCCCTGCGGGCCAGGTCTGTCCACGACTACCTGAGTGGAGAGCCATTCCTCGAGTACCTGGACAGCATGTACTTTGACCGCTTCCTGCAGTGGAAGTGGCTGGAAAGGTGAGTACGCCAGGTGAGGGCGTTGGGGGATGGCGAGCTGGGGGAGAGGGGAGGATCTTCCATGCAGAAATGATGCTTGATCAAGGCCCCTCCCTCCCCTGGGCCCAGGGCCCAGAACCTGAACCATGCTCCTGTTTCCACGTTCTTGTGCATCCTAGAAACGTAAGAACACCTGAACAGACTGAGTGTTTGCACCATCCTTGCTTTCCTGGCTCCCTGTCTCAGGGCACCTTCCTCTGCCTGCTATAAGAGCTACCATATTCTTTGAAATAGTTGCACACCTGATGTGCAACCCACGGCACTGTGGGTGGCCATTGGCCTTGTGCTCAATTTTTTAATGCGACGTTTCCTCCAGATAATGGGTGGCTTTGTACAAAAATCCTTGCAATGGTTTAGCAAGTACATCCCTAGGAGCTGCCAGCAGTGGACTGTGGGCATCCTCAGGCCGTTTTGTCTGGGTAGCAGCAGACCTCCCGTTCTGAGGTCCCCCACTGCCTTGGGACCTGCTTTCCCTCAGCGTCATCAACCTTGTCCTCCAGCCTCCCTCCACTTGTTTATTTCCTCCTCTCTTTGATGTTGCATGTTCCTGTTTTATTGGCTGCTTTGATCTCTCAGGTAGAATTTATTTATCTATCCTTAATTGTTTTTTTTTTCTTTTGAGAGACATAGAACTAGACAGGAAGAGATCTTCCATCTTCTGGTTTACTTCCCAGATGTCCCCAGTGTCTGAAACCAGGCCAGGCCGAGGCCAAGCACTGGGAACTCTATCTAAAAATCCCACGTGGATGGCAGGGATCTGACCACTTGAGCCATCACCACTGCTTTCCAGAGTCTTCTTGGGTAGGAAGCTGTGAGTGAGACTCATACCCAGGCACTAAAGAATGAGGTGCAGGTATCCCAACCAGTGTCTTGACCCCTACACCAAACACCTGCTCCTGCAGCCCCATTCCCTTCAAAGTGCTCTCCCATGCATAGGCACAATTGAGCCTAGCAGAGATGGCCTCCCTGTGACTGAGGAAGTGGAGACCTGTCACCTCAGCACCTGATTGTGGCCAGCAGGACTGTTCCATTGTAAGCCCCAAGCGTGGTCTTGGGAGAACTGGGCTGGGCCAGCTGGTGCTCAGTCTGCTTGAAACATACCAGGATGTGCCTGCTCTGCCTCCATGCTGGGTTGAGTTGGTAGTTGGAGTGGGAACTTCTCTTGCAAAAGCCAGGAAGGAGTCCTGGTCCTGGTGGCCACCTCAGAGCGCTGATCTGCATATGAGTCATACCACCATGGCTCAGGTCTCCTGCAGCCACTAGCAGATGTCACAGGACAGGAGCCCCCTCAAGCCCAGGCTCAACCTTGCTCTGCAGCCTCTGGACAGGCTGTTTCTCTGCTGGGTAAGGATGATGCAATGCCCAGTGGATGGCATGGTCCATAGGCTGCTGACCACCACTGGGCACCTGTGACTTCTCATTATCTGTGTGTGTAAAGATAGGAGGCTCAGAGAGGGTGGTGAGGGAGTCCCAAGCCACACAGCCAGGGCCCGCAGGCCTGGAATCTGAACCCAGATCCCTTTTCTCAATCCTGGGCTCTTGGCCCTCCCTGATACACTAATCCCACAGCCTCAGGCTGTGACCACGGGCTTCCATTTCTCTTGTCTGTACCAAGCCCATAAGATGGAAGAACACATCAAACTAACAAACGAAAAGTATCTGTGCGCTAACCAAAGGAATTACAAGTTCTCTCTCCCAAAGGCATCAAGTGGTGAGAGCCAGGAGGCAGGATCTGAGCTAAGAACCCAAATGGCTGACAGCACCCTGCCTTCCTCCCATGCTTTTTTTCCCTTGGCAAACAAGATCATGGGCTGCCAGTGCTGCCCTGTGGAAATATTAAAGGGATTTTTTTTCCTCCCAAGGTTAACCAGAAAATTCCGGGGAAATCGTATTACACTCCTTGCCCCGGTGGAGCAGCCCTGCGGTCGCTCGCCTGGCTGCTGCTTCTCCATGTATCGTAAACTGTTGGGCCTTGGCCGCCTTCATGTGGTCTCCGGGCAGCCGGGAGGAAGGCCGCCCCAGGCCAGCCGCAGGATGATGCAGGCACACGGTGGGTTTTCTCCACAGCCGCTGGGCTGCTCCTGTGCGTCAGACAGGAGCGGGGCAGTGAGGAAGCCAGCTTTCACTGGCTCTGGACTTCTGCCAGGGACTGGACCCCACTTCCTAAGCAGACACCCCAAGAAAGAGCCCCACACGGGGGTGCCCATGAGTACCAGGATTTCAAAAAAGAGTCAGCCTTGGAGCTAGAGATGGGATATCCGGGGAAACCCATACCTTCCCCAGACCCAAGGGTGGCCGGGGTGGGGGGTAGGGAGTATTTTCCTTCATCCAGGAGCTGCTGTGCTACCTACTGAGGCTCATCGCTCCCTCTCCCTACCAGTTCTCTGGCCCACAGCCTCTTCCCTGGACAGGATGCTTGGAGTAGTCTTGAGGAGTCAGGAGCCCACCTGACTTTTGAAGCCAGTTGCCCACAGCACTGGAGTTAGACACAGAGATGCACAGATTCTCCAGGCTGCTGTGGAGTCTTCTGCTTGAACAGATGGCTGTTCATTTGCTTCAGTACCATCCTTGTTTCACTCTCCAAGTCCTATCTCAGGGCCAGTGTTGTGCACCAGGTGAAACTGCCATTTGTGATCCCAGCATCCCGTATAGGCACCTGTTCAACTTCCAGCTGTTCCACTTCCAAGTCAGCTTCCTTCTGATGCACCTGTGAAAGCAGCAGGAGATGGCCAAGAACTTGGGCTCCTGCCACCCACGCAGGAAGGAGACCTGGGTGAAGTTTCAGGCTCCTGACCAGACCTGGTCCAGCCCTGGCTATGTTGTCATTTGGGGAGTAGATGAAAGATCTTTCTCTGTTCTCTCTCCCTCCCTCCCCTTAACTCTGTGTAATACTGCCTCTAGAATAGACAAATATCCTTTAATTTAAAGATAAAGTCCTGTGTGACATTGTAGAACAGTATGGTCAAGTTAGAAAGAACGTGCAGACACACATCAGTGATTACTTTTCCAGCACCATGCTGGGCACCCAGGATCCTCCTGTGCCCTGCATCCATGGTGGTGGATTGCCCAGGTCAGGCCTAAAGCCAGCAGGTGGCATCTTCCCTGCATATAGGCTGTGACCCACCGACCCACCAGACTGCAGATTTGCATTTGGGAAAGAGGGAGCCACAAAGTTGAGCATCTTTTTGTTTTACCCTCTGAGAAAGTGAGGGCTGCTCTGCCTGGCCCATGGGGCCTGAGCCTTGGATGCTGACCCCCAGAGGAAGCCCTCAGATATGTTCTCCGCAGCAATGGTCCCCTGGGGCTGCTCAGGGTGTCCTGGGATGGAGCCCAGTACACAGGTGCTGTCAGTGTCTGGTTCTGAAGCTTCACCCCAGGGGACCACTGTCAATTCCTGCTTCTTTTCCAGGCAACCCGTGACCAAAACTACTTTCAGGCAGTACCGAGTGCTGGGGAAAGGGGGCTTCGGGGAGGTGAGTGGACCCCATACTCCCACTGGACAGCTCCCATGGGCCCCATTCCTCTCCTCCTTTCAGGATGCCCCAAAGCATTTCCCCCCGCAAGTTTCTGCAGAGGTTTTGCCCAGGACCCCTGGAGCAGAGAGAGGGGAGGCCCAGAGACCTGAGGCAGGTGGAGGGAGGTAGGGAGGGGGCTGCACAGCCAGACCTGGGGAGGGTCCCCGTCTGTGGATAAAAAAGGGCTGCTCTGTTATGTGTGGAGAGGAGGAAGTAAGGGCGTGGGAGTGTGGCCACGTGCAATGTCCTTAGTGTTGTTTGAAGGGATGTGTGGAGTTGCATGGGATCAGAGATTTACTTGCGTGGCATCTGGTGTTCCCCGACACAAGGCAAGCCTCCCCACTTCAGAGGTGGGCAAAGTTGAGGTTCCACAGAGTTACATGTCACAGCCAAGAAGGGGCAGCACTTTGCCTGGAGCCCAAAGGCCTTGTTCTAAAGTCAGGGATATGGAGTGCCTCCTGCCACTCTTCCTAAAACAAGCCTGTTCTGCCAGCATCTTGCAGGAGAGGACTCTAGGGACAGCCTGAGGCCACGGCTATGAAAGGCTGGTCTTGCACCTTCACAGCCTCAGGCTCCCCAGAGGGGAGGAGGGGGCAAGGCCCAGTGTGGCAGGGGTCCAGAGTCAGGTGGTCTTACACCCTACGGGCCGGGAGCACTCACAGGCAGGCCCAGGAGGCTCTTGAGACCCTGACACCCAGACTTGGGGTAGTCCAGTGCACACCAGCATGGTACCCTGTGACTTTGGTATGTCTCTGGCATTAGGTCTGCGCCTGTCAGGTCCGAGCCACAGGTAAAATGTACGCGTGCAAGCGCTTGGAGAAGAAGAGGGTCAAGAAGAGGAAGGGGGAGTCCATGGCGCTCAACGAGAAGCAGATCCTGGAGAAGGTCAACAGCCGGTTTGTGGTGAGTGGGTGGCCATACCAGGCTCCGCTGCTGGAGACCGGCTCTGCCCTGCCTGTCCAGGGCCCTCCCTGCAGGCATAGGAGAGACCGTGAGAGGGACAAGCTGTGAGAAGGCAGCCACTTGCCCTGCCTCTGAAGCATGCACTATGGCCGAGGTGGCTGTCTGTCCTGTTCCCAGAGCTGCCAATGCACTGCACCCTCTGTTTGTGAAGCTAGTGCTTTAACATTCTCTGGAGCTGAGTGACTTTATAAAGTGACTTTGCAAGAACACAGACAGTTGGGCCTCTGGGTGCATTCCCAGGCTGCCAACCTTGCCCAGCGTGAAGGGGAGGGTGGTACAAAGGCACCATGCCATACGCCAGCTACAATCATGGCTCTAGGCCCCCTTGAGTCCAGACCTCCTCTGCAGGTTCTCCAGGTGTGCAGGGACCACTGACCACTGCTTCAGCACCACCCCTCGAGCCCCCCCTCACTGAGGGGCAGTGCCAGAGTTGAGGCTGGTGGGTCTCACATGGTTATGGCTGAGCCCTGGCTGCGGTACAGGCAGGAGTGTGCCCACAATGGCACCACCCAGAGCCCGCCCTCAGCACCACCCCTTCCTGGCAGGTGAGGGAGGAGGCTGGCACCTACAGCCCCAGACCACAGGAGCTCAAGCAGCCTTGGCAGTCCACGTAGCTCCTTGGCTCAGAAACAACCCATTCCTGATGCTTGTGTGTGAGCTGTCCCCTGCCTGGCCCATGATGGCCCGGTCTTATCTGTGTAAACTCTGTGGGTAGAGAAGGGGATGGTATGAGTACAGCGTCCACCCAGGACCACCTGCCTTCACCGCTGCCCCATAACTTCAGTCCTCACCCCAACAGCCTGGGCTGGTGGTCCTGTGGAAGGCACAGTAGGTGCATCTTACATGCTAGAGAAGGTCCCGGCTGAACGCTGTCCCTGTAGCTATCTCCTCGTCCTCTCCCCCGCCCCCCAAGAGCACAAACCCTCACAGCCTGGCATTTAACCGAGTGATGCTCATGAGCTTCTCTGGCAGGAATGTGTGATGATGTGCCATCCTGAAGGCCAGGGTTCACCGTGCCTTGCCTCAGCCCCTCACCTGGAACCAGTCATTGGAATGGGAGGGAGAAGCTGAGCCTGATGGCCCCAGACAGCAGGGGACAGGGGAGCAGCAAGAGGCTGCTCGCTCTTCCCGCCCAGCCGCAGACTCAGGCTTCCTGGAAGGACCTTGGAGTGGGCAGGAGGCCCCATGACCCTCACCACAGTGCTTGCTCTTACACTCACAGGTCAACCTGGCCTACGCCTACGAGACCAAGGATGCGCTGTGCTTGGTCCTGACCATCATGAATGGGGGAGACCTCAAGTTCCACATCTATAACATGGGGAACCCTGGCTTCGAGGAGGAGCGTGCCCTGTTCTATGCGGCAGAGATCCTTTGCGGCCTGGAAGACCTCCACCGCGAGAACACTGTGTACAGGTGAGTGGCACCATGGAACCCAGGTGTGGGTGGGAGGGGAGTCCAGCACAGGCTGCAGGTACATGAGTCCCAGCAGGTGCAACGGGCTATGGTCCAGCCACTGTTTTCCAGCCTCTGTGGCTTAGGCATCTAGGGGTTTGTGACTGCAATAATCCACCCCTCACCTAAGGGTGCATGAAAACGGTCCCCTTCCATGGTGAGGAGTCCTGTCCCTCCATCTGCTCTCCTGCCCTGCACAGAAATCTGTGATGGTGTCATGTACTTTTTTCAAATGTCTTGGTTGACCAGCATACATCTCTGGAGTAAATACATACATCCACAACTATTTAAAATCCCCTTTGGCTGTGAGGCCTTGAGTGTTCAAGCCGTTTCTCAGTGGAGTTGCCATGATCATTTCTGTGAGTGGATCTGGGGCTGCGGAGTGTCTGCTGTGGATCTTCCCATGCAGTGGGGGAAGGGCAGGTGGAGGGGACACAAAGGGTTCTGGGAAAGAGCGTGAGGTGACTGACACATCCCTGGGTGAGCATCTGGCCTGGCGGTTAGGACTCCTGTAACACATGGCTGGGTTTGAGTCCCCACTTGGCTGCTGATGTCCACCCTGGGAGGCAGCAGGCAACGTCTCAAAGACCTGGGGACCCTGCCATCAGCGTGGTCTGCAATTCCCACCCTCTGGCTTCAGCCTGGCCCCGCCCCTGCTCTTACTGTCATTAGGAGAGTAACCAATACATGTCTCCCCTGTGGTCTGCCTTTTAAATGAGAAGGAAAAAAAAAAATCAGACCCCTAAAAAGCTGCCACCAGTTAAGGCTGGATGTTGGGTGGAGGACTTGAGCCGACGCCATGTGTTCTGTGACTCAGCCGAGTGGCACACGTTCCTCTCGGCCTTTCTCTTGCCTCTCAAGAAGACCGTGGCCCATCAGGCCAGGCCCCTGCTGCCCTTGTCCTCGGATCCTGGCACTGTGGAGCCCCTGGAGGTCACGTGGTGCGTCCCAGCTGTGTCTCTGTTTTCCTTTGCAGAGATCTGAAGCCTGAGAACATCCTGTTGGACGATTATGGTGAGTCGGGCGGCGCAGGAAGGCCAGGTGACCAGTGCAGTGCACAGGGCACAGTGGCCTCCTGAGGCTCCGGGAAGACCAGGGGAGGGGCAACCCTGAGAGGGAACAGGTGGACCCCAATCCTCCCCTCCTCTGTGGGATCAGACTGGAGGCCGTGGGCACACCATGGGTGTGGCCGGGCCAGGAGCAGCCCAGAGCAGCTCTTTGACACCCTCTGTGTCCTCATTCTGCTCGTAAGATGGACACAGTGTGTCCCGCCTGCCTGCACAGGGGCGGACACGGTGCTGAGGCTCCTCCAGGTGGCATCAGGGGACACCGTACGTGCACGGCTCCTGTCTTGGGTGTGAGTGTGAGCAAGGAGCACAGCCTCAGTGACTACCTCCCCACCCAACCCGTCTCTCCTCTCACACCCGTTAAATGGTTTTGCCTGTTCTGCTTAGAGGGGGCAGGATGGCCTCCTGTACCCATCTTACAGATAACAGGACTGAGGCTCAGAAGACTCAGCCCACCAAGGTCACAGCAGTGTCCAGGTAGCCTGCCAGCAGGCTGTAGACCCAGACAGGAGAAGCAAGAGGAGAAAGCAGGGAGGCAGGCCATGGTGACTTGCAGGGAAGGGCTGCGTGAGATGCTACCCTGTGGGGAGCAGGTGGGAGTCTGGACATGCTGTGTGCCCAGAGGCCACCCCTCTCCTCGTCGACTCCGCACCCTCAGCCCTGCACCTGCCTGTCCAACCCTACTGAGTTAGAGGAAGCCATGCAGCTTGGACCTGGCAGGTGTTGCTGGAGTTGAATCTTGCTGAGGTCCAGAGCGCCCTAAAGTCCACAGACAAGGAAGGGAAGGGGGTGTGTCCCTTCCTGCAGGGTGAGATGTGGCCGTGACCCTGCTGGGTGGGTAAGACGAGGGGATGGGGCGGGCAGGGCTGTCAGTGCGGGACTGTCGCCAGGGTCGAGGGGTCAGTCCTGCCCCGTGAGCTCTGATCGCCTCTCCAGTCTGGGCCTAGCCAAGCCAGACGTCTCCTCCCTTTTTGCCTCTGCAAAGGGAAAAAACAACCTCCACAGGCCCAGGCGGCAGGCCAGGGCGTTGCTTCCTAAATTGCTTTATAACATTTTCCCCTGAAGCAAACTGTTGCAAAATGTCAGGAGGCTTTCATACTTTTCCCATGAAGCAAGCCCCGAATCAGGCCGAGGCATCTGAAACCTGGTGACCCAAGCCTTCAGAGAAGCCCATTCTGGCACTGGATGGGGCAGGCGGCCTGTGGCCAGTGGGCTCAGGTGACCTTGGCCTCTTGGCCTCACTCCCCACACTCCTCCTCTCTCGCAGCTCTCCCAGGCCCTGCAGGCATCCTGAGGGGCAGCGAGGGGTCCCGGTCCTCACTGCACAAGGAACAGCAGGGCACCTGCAGCACCTGGCTACACTGCCACCTTGCTCCCCCACCCCCACTGACCCTGTTGTCCATCCTCAGGCCACATCCGGATCTCAGACCTCGGCCTGGCTGTGAAAATCCCCGAGGGAGACCTGATCCGCGGCCGAGTCGGCACCGTTGGCTACATGGGTGAGTGCCGAACCCCACCCTCGAGTTCCTGCGACTCCACTTGGTGGGAGGCCTTAGCCTGGCCCTAGGTGCCATGGGGTTCAACCCAGCCCCACCCTTGTCTCAAAGTCAAGTTATTTAGTGGTGCTAGGGAGCTAGGGAGAGGGAGGCCATGGTAGAGAAGGAGTCTGGAGGTGCAGGAAGGCAAAAGTTCTTTTGCAGAGATCCCCTCCAGAGAAGGGAGGTGCCTGGGAAGGGCTCCAGAATGAGCCTACACACAGCCTACTGCTTCACCCAGCATGACTGCCAGCAGAGGCCAGCCCTGGCTCTCTGCCCTGCCTCTCTTCTACCTGCTCTGAGACCAACAAACTGGTGCCTGTGAGATTGGGGCTCCAAACTAAAGCCAGTGCCTAAAACCCCTCCTCCCCCACAGAAGCAGGGGGTCCCAATAAGCTGGCAACCAGACACATTGCTACCCTCTGGCTGGGTTGGTGCCAGTAGCAGGTGCACTGGCCTTGTACTGTCTCTGGTGCTGCAGGCTCCCATTCAGTTGGGGTGGCATCTGACCACTGGAAAAGCAAAAGAGTGCATGACCATGTAAATGTAATGATGGATGGATGGATGAATGGATAGGTGGATAGATGGATAGGTGGATGGATGGATAGATAGATGGATGGATGGATAGATGGATGGATGGATGGATGGATAGGTGGATGGATGGATAGATGGATGGATGGATGGATGGATGGATGGATGGATGGATGGATGGATGGATGGATGGATGGATGGATGGATGGATGGATGGATGGATGGATGGATGGATGGATAGATGGATGGATGGATGGATGGATAGATGGATGGATGGATGGATGGATGGATAGATGGATAGATGGATGGATGGATGGATGGATGGATGGATGGATAGATGGATGGATGGATAGATGGATGGATGGATGGATAGATAGGTGGATGGATGGATGGATGGATAGATAGGTGGATGGATGGATGGATGGATAGATGGATGGATGGATGGATGGATGGATGGATAGGTGGATGGATGGATGGATGGATAGGTGGATGGATGGATGGATGGATGGATGGATAGATGGATGGATAGATGGATGGATGAACAGACATGAACAAGGATGAATCTGTCCTCACAGCCACCTGAACTTCTGCTGATGCATTTACACATGTCTGCTTTGGCACAGTGTCTCAATCTTGTACAGCCTCTGTTGTGTGCCTACCAGGGCATGTATAGATGCATTTGCCTCTGGCCTGCTCAGTGACCCAAAGCTGTCCTTTATATACTTCTGTGGTGAATCTATAATTTATTTCATCAAAGTAGTAAGGAAGTTAAGGTGAGAGACTGGTACATTTAAATGATCATTGATTAAGGCAATCATTAATTTGGTTCAGCATACCTTTAATCACAGGGATGGAAGTGTGCGATAACTGAAGTGTGCCAGGTGTTGTGTGTGTCAGCTGGGACTTGACAGGGAGCAAGTCAGCCTATGGTACCATGAGGGAGATCACATAGGAACATGGCATTTCCATCCACTGTGGGCTGAGTTCTGAAGTCACAGTCAGTCTTTCTAGGAAGCGCAGAAGAGAGCCATCACAGCAGGCTTCCTGGAGAAAGTGGTATTAACAGAAAAATGCTGGAGAGGAGTTAGCGGGGAGGAGTGACCCAGCCGAGAAACCACAGGTCTTCTGTGAGCGACACTATAGGTGCAGGATGGCCAAGGGCCCGCCAGGGTGAGGAGCACCAGTGCCCTGGTTCTACCCGTGCCCAGCTGCTTCTAATGCTCTCCTCCCCTCTCCGGCCCCCAGCTCCTGAGGTCCTGAACAACCAGAGGTACGGCCTGAGTCCCGACTACTGGGGCCTGGGATGCCTCATCTACGAGATGATTGAGGGCCAGTCACCCTTCCGTGGCCGCAAGGAGAAGGTGAAGCGGGAGGAAGTGGACCGCCGGGTCCTGGACACCGAGGAGGTCTACTCCCCCAAGTTCTCAGAGGAGGCCAAGTCCATCTGCAAGATGGTGCGTTCCTTTCCACCGGATGCTGCTGTGTCTCCCTGCTCCCAGCCTGACCTCAGGACAGCGCCCAGGCCAACAGGCGGGGAGTCAGGCAGCTAGAGCATGGGAGGGGCAGCCCAGTGAGCTGAGCCAGAGGCCGATGCTCCCTTCTGTGTGTGGGGCAGCCAAGGAAGGAGCCGGAAAGAGCCTGGGTTGGGAGGCCGGGGGGTCCAGGAGCCAAGGGAAGGGGCCAGGGCTGCACTGTGTGGTTGGAGCACCTTGTAACTGAGTTACCCACCAAGCAGGGCACGAAACATGACTGCTTGGGTTCAGTATGACAGCGTCCACACATGGTAGGGCATAGGGGGGATCATGTCTGGACAGGAGGGGTGGCCAGGGCCAGAAGTGGGAGCTGGGCCAGGACCAGGGAGAAGGAGTGGCGGAAGTGTCGCAAGCATTGGATCTTGGAGGTATCCTACCACGGGGCCAGCTCAGACCCTACTTTGGGCTGTGCAGGCAGATGGGCACTTCCTGTCTTACTGACCTCAGGCTCCCACGTTCCACTCATGCCTCCTTGGGTCTCCCTTCCCCTGCACTGGGCCCAGCAGTACAGGCAGCTGCCCTCTAATGCCAACCACACAGGGAATGGGAAGGGCCTGGAGTGACAGGTGCACAGACGGAGCTCTGGGGAGATGTTCCTCTACGCCTGCTTGGACCCTCGGGGGGCCTTGTAGCAGGCTCACTTGTGCATGGACAATGCAGGCTGGAGCTTAGGGGAGAGTCAGCATTCAGCATGCTGGGGCTCGCCGTCAGCAGCCCAGGAACCAGGTAGCTGAGCACAGCTGTCTGCCCTCTCTGTGGCTTTCCCATGCTGGCTTTTATCCTCAGGTCACAGGGCACTGAGGACAAGGGTTTGGGGCTGGGTCTGCCACAAACCACAGTCCTGTCACTTACATGTCACTGAAGCAAGAAGGGACAGAACACTCTGAAACCGCAATGCCCAGCCATATAGCCAGCTGGGGCCTGAAGGACGCCCAGTAGTCATAGCAAAGGTGAAATGGGGGGCAGGATGCGCTGTGCCATAGTGCCTGGTTAAGCTGGGACGAGGTGTTTGCCCATTGTGCCCAACCTGGACGTGGATTAGGGAATCCTAATGAACCTTCATCAAATCCAAATGTCCTTCATCAAGCTCAGGAATTCAGAGATCTGAACAGGGAGGTGGGATGTGCTGTGAGGGGGAGTCAGAGAGGGAACTCCTCATCCCCCAGCCTCTCAATCATCTTGGCTGGGTGGAACCAGGTGCTGCTGTGTCGGCTGCCCCCTGGTGGCCACCAGGGAGAAAGCCGTGGTGAGTGACACTGAGTGACAACTCGTGGCTTAGCTCTCAGGAGCAGGACCTGGTGCTGTCCACTTGCATTTCTTTGGAAAGGGGTATCTCTTGCCACAAACTGTGAGCTGCAAGAGGCTACTGCCTACCCACCGTCTACAGTTCCCCATCCAGCTCAATGCCTGCCCCACCCACAGTGGCCAACCGGCAGGATATGTGCCTCCTAGGAAGGCAGACACAAGCAGAGTGCAGGTGACAGACAGGGCTGAACTCCCTCACCTTGACTTTAGTCCAAGCACCCATTGCATACCAGAGCTGCACTCAGTGCTGCAAGAGAGAAGAGAGGAGCATGAAGCCAGGGCCCTGGGGGTCCAGGGGAGGGACAGCAGCCCCTTGGTCCTGGTGACTACAGCCAGGTGGGGCCCCTCCATGCCTGCTTCACCCCCCAACCACCTGTGACCTCCTCTGCCTCCAGACAGAGGTCTTCCCCACTGACCTGGCCTTCACGACCCAGTTGTCTCTCCCTGCCCAGCTCCCTGCCCAGTTCCCCTGCCCAGCTCCCTGCCCAGTTCCCCTGCCCAGCCCCTGCCTGGCTCCATGCCCAGCTCCCCTGCCCGACCTTCTAGAGCTCAGACATCTGGGGGTTCTCCAAGCTTACCTATAGGTCTCCACTCTGATTCTGCTGGTGCGATTCCTGCTTGATTCCCCATCTTCCAGGGCCTGTTTGACAAGGAGCAGCCTGAGTGCCCCTACCCTCAGGAAGTCCCCCAGGCCGCCCCTTCTCTCAGCCAGCCAAGGGCGATGCAGAGACCACCAGCAGGCCCCACCCCTGTTGCTTCCCCATAACAGTGGCAGGCCCAGAATCAGGGGACCTGGGGGTATTCACTGAGCTGGAGACAGGGGTGAGACCCTGCCTTCCTTGATGGAGTGGGGCATCTTCAGGGAGCGAGATGGGTGCACACAGAGCCGAGGCTGGCAGGGGGCACTGGGGAGAACTCCAGGACCCTCGCAGGGAGGACGATGACCACAGCTGGCCCCAGACTCCACAGGCCTCCAGGCCCAAGGGTGTGGCCTCACGTGGCTCTCTTGTCACAGCTGCTGACTAAGGATGCCAAGCAGAGGCTGGGCTGCCAGGAGGGGGGCGCCGCCGAGGTCAAGAGGCACCCATTCTTCAGGAACATGAACTTCAAGCGCTTGGAAGCCGGCATGCTGGACCCTCCCTTTGTTCCAGATGTGAGTAGCCTCTAACCCCACACAGCTCTGAGGCACCTGCCCTCTGCCATGCTGCCCCAGAGGCTAGCAGCTCCAAGTTTTTGTGGACTCGGAGTGTCCCTGCCCCATCCGTCCAGATCACTCCATTCCAACTCTGCCAGTGAACTGGATGCCAGACATCCAGGTGCCACGTGGACCAGGCAACCCCACACTGGGTGTGCAGACACTTGGGAGCTAGCCAGGGCCCTGACCTGTCCCATTAGGCCCATGACTCACAGCACCAACCTGCCAGGAAGGTTTGCACATGACCCCAGAACCAATCTGAGACAGTGTAGTAGCTGTGAAGACTCACAGTCAGTTCAAGATAGGTGCCCTGAGCACCTGCTGTTTATACCAGGGGCTGGGCCAGGCAGTCAGTCCCCAAGGCAGGAACCTGGTGCAGGTGGTTTTGTTCATGGGAGTCCCCACATGGGGTGGGGCCCAGGCTCACGGGCAGCCAGCCCAGGGTGACCAGGGGGAGGAGGGGACCCTGAGACAGACAGTGAAAGTCGCTGAGGGGCCCGGGCCCTGAGATCATGGGCTGAGGATTTTGAAAATCTCCGAGGATAGTCTAGCATAAAGCCAGGCTCGGGGGCTGCTGTGTATAGGAGATGCCATATACCAGGAGTTTGCCATTTTGTTTCGGATGTTGAACTCGGCTGCCGTGTCACTGGGTCAGTAGTGGCTGGGACAGGAGCCGAGTGCCAAGACTGGGCTGTAACGGAGGTTTTGAACCCAGTGGCTGTCCTCAGACCCCCTGGGCTGCCTGTTGCCATGGTGACAGGACGGGGTGAGTCATTCATGGCACAGGAACCATTCCTTCACTCAGACTCGTTCCAGTCCCCAGAGGACCCCACAGAGAACAGCAAACTTGCTTGTTTCCTTCACGGGACTTGTGGGATGAGGGAGTAGGCAAACACCCCTGAAATGAAAGATTTTTATTCTCCTTGGAGAAGGTGGGGGTGGGGGTGGAGCTGACCAGGGAACATGAAGGTGGGGTGTGGGAATGCCAGGCCCGAGGGGTGTGGGACAGGTTTCCTGGTGTGACCTGTCCCTGATTTGGCCCCAAAGTTCTGCATCCTGGGTGAGCAGACGTGGCCATTCACCTGGGTATGTCGAGGACCAGACCCAGGGCACAGTTCAGAGTGGTGCATGAGGGCAGTGAGCAAGCAGTTGGTGGGCAGCTGGACCCCTTCTGTGCTGGCAGAGTGGGGGAGGGCATGCAGCCAGCCCTGGAGAGGGAAGCCCCTGTGAGCTGGGCACCAGACCCAGAGCCGTGCTTTCCCTCTCCATGGTTATGCCTTGTCGGGTCTGCAGCCATGGTCGTAAGTCAGTGCAAGCATCAATTCATGCTTTGCAAAACCACAGTAAGCAGATTCCAAAAGGAAGAGCGAAGGCAGTGCCCTGGGAGAGGTGGGGGATGCGTGTGCTGGCTGCATCCCTGTCACAGGTGTGACTCAGGCTCTGTTCACCTGTGTATGCCCCACAAGCAGCAAGGTCCTTGCTGCCCTGGCCTGGGCCCCCACCCTTCGTCCTGGCTGAGAGAAGTGCATCCAAGGCCAGGGACTGAGATGCCAGGAGACATGGTCACCTCCTCTAGGGGAGCCTCTGCTGGGGGCAGGGGATGCCCAGAGGAGCCGGGGCCTGTCTGTCTGGGCCACCCTGGAAGGAAGCCTGCCTGGACACCCCAGGCTCTGGTTTCACCCCAGCAAGGGGTCTCCATTTGGAGGTATCTCAGGAAGGTGTCTCCTCTGTCCCCATCAAAGCCCACGGCCTGGCTCGGGGAAGGCAGAGCTGCCCACAGGCCGCCCATGACCCAGCCCTGTCCCCTGCAGCCCCGGGCCGTGTACTGCAAGGACGTGCTGGACATCGAGCAGTTCTCTACTGTGAAAGGCGTCAACCTGGACCACACGGACGATGACTTCTACTCCAAGTTCTCCACCGGCTCCGTATCCATCCCCTGGCAAAACGAGGTACGTGGGGTGGGTGGCTGCTAGCCTCGCTCTGGGTTGCAGGGGTGGCCACCACCCCTACACCACTGGGAGGAAGAGGAGGAGGAGAAGAACTGGCTGCTGGAGAGGGATGGCAGGGGGCCAGATCGAGGGCCCTGTAGAGAAGGCTCTGGAAAAGGAAGGCAGCGCCAGGGCGTGTTGGTGGCTTGGGCGGAGGTCAGTGCTGCTGGGGATGAGGCGGGAGGGCAGGAGGGGGGTAAGTGAGGGCCAGGTGACGGTTTGGTGGCAGGAAGCTGAACGCATCCCCAACATGGTCTCCATCTCCTCGGAGGTAGTATGCATGGTGCACATGGGCAGTTACGACCTGGGCCCGTCCACGGGTATCACAGGGGGCGGGAGAATCTTGTCCTGGCCCTGCTACAGGGAACAGGAAGATCCAGGAGAAGGCCTCGCCACCAGGCCTCCTTCCAACAGCAGGCAGACGAGGGACCCATGTCTGTGCTGGGCCCCACAGATGATCGAGACAGAGTGCTTCAAGGAGCTGAACGTGTTTGGACCACATGGTACCCCCTCGCCAGACCTGAACCGGAGCCACCCGCCTGAGCCACCCAAGAAGGGGCTGCTACACAGGATCTTCAGGCGTCAGGTGAGGGACCCATCTGGGCCGGGCCTGGCCTCAGCCCTGGACCTCTGACTACTCTCCTGGAACAGGAAGCCCTGCCCGAGAGTCCAGAGCTGCAGAGGGCTCGAGGGAAGGGGGCTGGTGGCAGCAGAAGGGACAGCCAAGCTGTGCACAGCTCCTGATGCCCCCGTGGCTGATGGGACCCTAAGAGCCAGATGGGCAGGGCAGCCCAAGCTCTCCTCAACATTCAGGCCTTTGCACTTTGACCTTGTGTTCAGGGTGGGAGTGGGAGCTGTCTCATGTGCTGCAGGATCCCTGTACCATGGAAGCACCTCTGCTCCCTGGCTGTGTCAGCCACGAACGCCATCACACAACACCAGGTGTCCCTTGGGTGGCAAAAGCACCCCTGATTGAGAACCACGGCCTCATAGGACCTTGTAAAGACATGGATACAGGTTGCACCTGGAGGAACCAGGAGGGTGGTGGTGAGCCTGCAGGTCCTCACGGCAGTGGAAGCTGCCCTGGCAAAGACCCACTCTGCCCCGAAGTATGGTAGAGGTGCCACCCAGCGGGGCCCTGCAGACCTGGGGTGTGGGAAAACTCGATGACCTGCACCCCACCTAGCAGCCATGGAGACAGCCACAGCAGCACTCCTTAGCCTGTCCCTTCCTGAGGCCACAGCACCCGCCCAACCCTGGTTCTCACCTGGGCCCTCACAGGAGCATGAAGGAGACAGGCAGGTGCAACTCTGGCCCCAGGCTGTGGCAGGTAGCCTGTGCTGGCAGAGCTGGGCTGGGGACCAGCCTGAGACCAGGGGGGCTTTTAAGAGGCTCCTCCTGTTGCACTCCCAGCAAACACAGCGCACTCACTCAGCGTCTCATCCACTCTGCCCAAAAGCTGGAGGAGGACCTGGGCAGGGCAGGAGCCCCACCCAGAACCCCAGCCGTGTCGGCTGAGGTGCAACCACAAGGCCCTAACTCTAGTGTCTCTCTCTCTCTCCCTCCCTTCCTCTCTGCTCCCTCCTCCCTCCACCCCAGCAGCATCAGAACAATTCCAAGAGTCCACCCAATTCCAAGGCCAGTTTCAACCACCACATCAGTTCAAATCACGTCAGCTCCAACTCCACGGGAAGCAGCTAGTTTTCGCCCGGGCCATGGTGCCCACCAGCGCCAGCCTGAGCCCCCTGGGAAGCAGAAGAACTTGTGTCCCTGTGGGGCTGCGCCCACCCTCAGTACCAGAAGGACACCGCCCACGCCCTGGGCACCGGACCACGAGGTCCCTCCAGGAGTCCCGCACTCAGGTCTGTTCTCCGCGGCAGCCCCCGCAGCGCCTGGTCAGGGCGATGGGCTCACCCCGCTGGACTGAGCGGCAGAACCCAGCTGGACCCAATGACTTGCACACGTTTTCACGGCATCCCGACTAGGACTGAATTTTGTCTCTATTATTTTTCAAGACAAGTTTTGTAAATTTCTCTACTGTCTCAGTTTACATTTTGTATATTTGTATTTAAATGAGAGTCGGACTCCGAGGGTGTATATTTTCCGTGCAGCCACGTAAAGCCATGTGTTTTAAAGACGTTAGGGGTGGGGGCAGGGGATTTACCCAGACAACACCAACACCAACAGCCAAATCGGCTCCAGATGTCTGGAGCCTCAAGTGAGTCAGCGTTTTTATTAAATGTAGACGGCCATCCATGTACTCCTCTGCCTGTATCCACCTTCGCAGCCCCTCTGCTTCGTCATGGCTCTGTCCATCACTGACACACCTGGGACCCTCTGCCCTCTCCCCTCTCTCAGGCCACCATCAGAAGACCATCCTTGGGGGCCGAGCCCTTCTGGAGGGGCACACGGTCAGCCCCTTGCTTGGCCTCTGCCTGTCCTCAGTGGGGAAGCCGGCTGGTGCCCCAAGGCACTGCCTTCAGCCCTCTGCCTCTTCTGCACAGGTCCCTGCCACTGGAGCCAGGCCGCCTTGCATTCAGGGCTTTCTGTTGCATTTCCTAAGGGAGGCACAGAGACGATGAAGATTGCTTGTGGGACTCCGGGTGTCTCGCTCCCAGGAAATGCAAGGCCATGTGTAGTGCTGAGCATGCCCGCCCACAGAGGAGGGCCCCAGCCAGTGTCCTGGTGGCCTGAGTCCTTCACAGGCTCTGCCCTGACTGGCCACTTGTGTACCCCAGCTGAGGTAAAGGGGGTACCTGGGGCAGACCCTACCGCCAGCCACACACATTATTACTGTCACTGCCCAGGAGACAGACGCTCCGGCCCGAGTGCCCCCCACACCCCACAGGACTTGGTGGCCTGCCCAACCAGGGGTTCACCCCTGATGCTTCCAAGAGGTGACAAAGAACATCCCTGCCAGGCCAAGCCCCTGGTGTCCAACTCTGCCCCAGGACCAAGCTCAGCTACCCATCAGCTGCCAGATTTCTCGTCATGTGGGGCCTGTGCTGTTGAAATGAAGATTCCCAGGCTTGCCCCATCCTTCAGATTGGGAGCCTCTGGGGGTGAGGCCCAGTAATCTGTATCTTTCCAATATCCCTGAGGCATGAGAAATCCTGCCTTTGGCCAGGCTTTGCTGCCACCATCCCCAAGCATAGTCTCAGGACCCAGCAGCTCAAGCTTCCAGGGGAGGGTTGTGAAGCCGGCTACCACAGGCCACACCCCTGCACCTGCAGCGTGATGTCCTTCAGGGCCAGCCAACATCCTCAGGGCCTTCAGGTCACGGGGCCCCACCCCCGCCTCTCTCGGGCTGCAAACCAAGCAAATGCCAACTGCCATGCTCAAGTCTTACCAAGGAAGTGGTGGGGGGAGGGGTGTGTGTCTTGAAACAATATTGAAAGACCGTCCAATGACACCCTCCCCCGTACACACTCACAAACCCGCCTCCCACTCAAAACCCTGCCCCTCTGTCCAGTCCACAGTGACTCCACCCTCTCCAGTGGGCTGGGGCTCTGTGCCCCCAGGCCAGGCACTGACCACTGGCCACCAAGAGTCCCAGCACAGCAAGGGCCAAAACAGCCCAGCTGCTGCGCCCTGCACCTGTGAGATCTACAGCACAGGCGCTGTGTGACTCCCAGCGTCCTTCACGGTCAGCACCTGTCCCCGACATGCCAGTGGGACAAGGGACAAAGCCATGTGGCCTTTGCAAACCTCTTCCTTCTAACCTGTCCTGGCTTTGGGGCAGGAGAAGTCTAAAACAACCCCCCACTGAAGCCCCGGGGCCCGTTCCTTCCCCCGCCTCACACCTCCTCCAACCTAGAAAAGCTTTTTTGTTATTTTGTTTTGTTGTGGTTTTATTTTTTTAAAGGCAGATTTACAGAGAGAGAAACCAAGACAGAAAGAGAAAGATCTTCATCCACTAGGTCACTAGTGGTCACCCAAGTGGCTAGAGCATCCAGGGCTGAACTGATCCGAAGCCAGGAGCCAGGAGTTTCCTCTGGGTCCCCCACACAGGTGCAGGGTCCCAAGCACTTGAACCATCCTCTGCTGCATTTCTAGGCCATCAGCAGAGAGCTAGATCAGAAGTGGAGCAGCCAGGACTGGAACTGGTGCTTGAAGGTTGAGGATTAGCCCACACAACTGCAGCGCCAGCACCTATAAAAGGCTTTTAAAGCTGGAAACTGTCTCTTCTGCCACCCACCTCTCTGGGACAAGGTGTACCCAGACAGCAAGCCTCCCTAACTCCCCAAAGGCGCCTGAGCCCCTTGCAGAGGGAACGCCCGTGCTTGCCTGAGCAACATGTACACCAGATGGTCAAGATGAGATGGAGTAGAGATGCTTCTTCCGGAAGCACTCCTGCATCCGCAGTTCCAGGGACAGGATGCTGTTTGCGTGGTCAGAGCTGGTCCCACCACAGTTACCATGGCCTGCAGGGTTTATGGAGCCCACTGGGGCTCTCAGAATATAAACAAGATCCGACCCTCACCCTGTTCATGGAAGATACATCCATACCCCCACATCAACTCTTGTTGCAATCTTCTTTGGCCAGGAATATCATGCCTTAAACCTCCTGGGCAGGAGGGCTGCTCTCTGCACAGTAAGCAAGCTCTCCTGAGGATGTCACCAGATTCGGCACTGTAGCCCAGCTGAGGGTAGCCCACAGGCTGTGCTTTCCAGGAATACACACCAGGACACCCCTGGGGCTCAGGGCAGCCCCCGAGGGGGGCTGAGTGAGGGTATGCTTCCTAAGCCATGGGCCTCCAAATACAGGAGCACGCCTGCCTCCCTGGACCTGGTGTCCTAGCTTGGCCTAAGTGGGCAGGGTTCCGTGGATGCCTGGACGGTCTCCCGAGAGCAGGCTGCCTGGGCACATCGCTTCTCTCGGCTGGTTCCTGTCTGGTGACCCAACACAAAACCTAGCTGCTTAGCTGTTGCTGTGGAACGATCATGGGTGTGGAACCTTTGTGTGTTTGCAGGTGACAGAACTGAATCTGAGCGACTGAGAGCTCGCATCTCCCTGGTCACTGCCCAGCCGAGTCCCCCAGTCACCTCTTGCACTCCTATAGCCAGCCTTGCAGCCCAGAGGGGTGCATCACAGACCCCACGCAGGGGCAGATAGATCTGCAAGTCACGGCTCATGCCGTGGACAGTGACTTAAAAAACCCTTGAAATATTTGCAGTCCTTGGAGACAAGCCTCTCCCCTAAAGAAGGATCTCTTGTCTTCCAGAGTCTGTCATGACGTCATTTCTTTATACTTAGATCAAAAGCCAGTGTCCTCAACTAGAAGGGTTCAGTGGCTGTTGGTGTTGTTAAAGTAATAATAATAATAATCTTCTGATAGCCAAAGGTCTATTTTTTTTTCAGGGAGATTTTAACACGATGAGTGGACATCGTTCCACTTCGGGGCTTGCTCCTGAAGATGGCGGCTTTTGTCCCCGGCTCCTCCATGTCCCTGTATGTCCCATCTAACGTGTCACAGTGCTGCTGTATCAAGATTGAACCACTGTTGCTTTTTTTTTTAAGACCAATAAATTCCTTAATGAAAATCCTGTTTGTTGCCTTTCCTTGCTTCCTTCCGCCAACAGCCTCTGAGTATTCATCCTGCATGTGGCAGCCATGCACAACGTGCCTGGAGCTGTGCCTACTCCTCCCCAACCTGAATCCGGCCACCACACTGCCCACTGCCTGCACTGCCCACAGGAGACCCTGTCCTGCCAGGCAGTGCCCATGGAGACCATCTGAACACTTACCAAGTTATCGTCTTTTGACCCAAAACCCAGCAGGTGATTGTAGAAGTCCTCTAGCCACCTGGCAACAAATGGGAGTGACGAGGGCCAAACCAGTGCCGGGAGCCATCCAGCCAGGGTTGGATACATGCTGGAGACTGGGTGGTCAGCAGGGAGGGCGGGCCCCCTGCCTCAAATCCAGGCCTCAGCCCCACCACCCCTTTCCAGTCTCAGTCCTGAAAACAAGCAGGGCTCTGGACTGGGGCAGCCCCTGTTGGCTGTGTGACCTTAACCTTGGACAGGTCTGTAATCTGAATGTGCATGATGCCCCACCCCAAGGTGTCCACGGCAGCCGCCCAGGCAGCTTCTGGGGCCCTTCTGAGCCTTAGGCAGGCCCTGCCCTGACCTCACACTCCGTCACAGCCAGCTTGGCCAGGCAGCTGGGCAAGGGCAGAGTCAGCTGGGCATTACCAGCTGGAATTTGGTTTCTGCCCTGCTTATGTGGCCCCAACTAAAGATGGGGACTACAGTGCTTGCTTCTCAGGCTTCTTCCAATGGGTTCCACGCCCCAAGGCTGTAGGCAGTCTTCCACTGCTTTCCCAGGCCACAAGCAGAGAGCTGGATCAAAAGTGGAGCAGCCGGAACTTAAACCAGAGCCCACATGGATGCCAGTGCTGCAGGGGGAAACCGGGCTATATAAACTGTTTTTAAAAACTTATTAGGGGGCCTGGCAGCATGGCCTAGCGGCTAAAGTCCTCACCTTGAACGCACCGGGATCCCATATGGGTGCCGGTTCTAATACCAGCAGCTCCACTTTCCATCCAGCTCCCTGCTTATGGCCTGGGAAAACAGTCGAGCACGGCCCAAAACCTTGGGACCCTGCACCCAGTGGGAGACCTGAAAGAAGTTCCTGGATCCTGGCTCTAGATCAGCATAGCACTGGCCGTTGTGGCTCATTTGGGGAATGAATCATTGGACAGAAGATCTTCCTGTTTGTCTCTCCTCCTCTCTGTATATCTGACTTACCAATAAAAATAAAATAAATCTTAAAAAAAAAAAAACTTATTTGAGGACCCGGCACATAGCCTAGTAGCTTAAGTCCTCGCCTTGCATGTGCCAGGATCCCATATGGGTGCCAGTTCATGTCCTGATGGCCCGCCTCCCATCCAGCTCCCTGCCTGTGGCCCGGGAAAGCTTAGGGACCCTGCATCCACATGGGAGACCTAGAAGAGGATCCTGGTTCCTAGTTTCAGATTGGCTCAGCTCTGGCTGTTGCGGCCATTTGGGGAGTGAATCATGGGACAGAAATTCTTTCCTCTCTGTCTCTCCTCTCTGTATATCAGCCTTTCCAATAAAAATAAATAAATCTTAAAAAAAAAATCTATTTGAAAGGCAGAGTTATGGGGCAATGCAGTGGCTCAACAGGCTAACCCTCTGCCTGCAAGTGCGTGGCATCCCATGTGGGAATTGGCTCACGTCCTGGCTGCCTCACTTCCCATCCAGCTCCCTGCTTGTGACCTGGGAAAGCAGAGGAGGATAATCTAAAGCTTTGAAACCCCATAGCTGTGTGGAAGGCCCAAAGGAGACTCCTGGATTTGGATCGGCTGTGCAGCCATTTGGGGAATGAACCAGTGGATGGAAGATCTTCCTCTCATTGTAAACTATCAAATAAAAATAAATGTATCTCAAAAAAGAAGAAGAAGAGTTATAGAGAACGAGAATTCTTCTATCTGTTGGTTCACTCCCTGGAGAAACCAGGAGCCTGGAGCTGCTTCCAGGTCACCCACATGAGTAGCAGGAGCCCATAGTCTTGGGCTGTCAACCACTGCTTTCCCAGACACATCAGCAAGGATCTGGGTGGGAAGCAGAACAGCTAGGACATGAGCCAGTGCCCAGGCTGGATGCTGGCATCACAGCTTAACTCACTGAACCACACACCAGCCCCCAGAGGGTTTTCTTTGGAACAGAGGAGTAAGCCAGGAAGACAGGAGCAGGGAAGCGGAGCGAGAGAGGCCAGCGTATGCCATGGTGGGCTTTCGGCTGATCCTGGCTGCGGGTAACTCAAGTCCAGGGCCTGGAGGGAAGGGGAGGGACGGAGCCAACATGTGGCTGACAACCATCGATCCCAGGGGTCAGAGAGACGCACTGCTCAGCTCGTCATCACCTGGTCACTGGGAACCTGGGCCGTGTCACAGGTAGACCAGCTGCGTGTCCCCGGGCCTTGTGGTATCAAAGTTCTCCCAGAGCACTGAAGGATGGGGGCAATTGCTTCAACCCTCGCTGACTTCCATCAGCAAGAGGCAAAGGTAGGCTTCAACATGGTTTCCTGTAATTGCATGAGACGATTATGAAACAAACTATAACGTTAAAAAACAATCCTTAGGGCCCGGTGCGGTGGCACAAGTGGTTAAAGGTCCTCGCCTTGCACGCCCGGGATCCCATATGGGCGCCGGTTCTAATCCCGGCAGCCCCGCTTCCCATCCAGCTCCCTGCCTGTGGCCTGGGAAAGCAGTCAAGGACGGCCCAAGGCTTTGGGAACCTGCACCCGCGTGGGAGACCCGGAAGAGGCTCCTGGCTTCGGATCGGCATAGTATCAGCTCGTTGCGCTCACTTGGGGAGTGAATCATCGGACGGAAGATATTCCTCTCTATCTCTCCTCTGTGTATATCCGCCTTTCCAATAAAAAAAAAATAATAAAAATAAATCTTTAAAAGAAAAAAAAAAAACAATCCTTAAAAACCTCAAACTAGGGCTGTCGCCCTGGCACAGGAGGTTATACCCCACCTGCCATCCAGCACCCAGTATAGGCACCAGTTCAAGTCCCGGCTGCTCTACTTATGACTCAGGTTTCTACTAATAGCTTGGGAGAA